CTCCATTCTTTCCTCTTCTCACTATCTTCCTTTCCCTTCATTCCTCTCCAACTGCTTTCATTAACTCCATGTTCTCTTACCCTTGACTCCATTTACTCTTCTGCTTACTCTCCCTAACCTCCAGTGTATCTAACCCTTCTTTTTCTCCATTCCCATCTTTTCTACCTCCAGCCACCTTAACAGAAGTGGGACTGGTCTTCTGATTCCTTCCCTCCACCATCTCCATCCTGAATCCCCATTTTAATCAATTTTCCATCCATTCCAGTCCTCTGAAATCGCTCTTAAAGTTTTTAGTGATGTCTTGATAGCCATTTCTCATAGCCTCCTTGAGCCCTTTGCAACTATTGACACTGCAGTAATACTCTCCTCAAAATCCTGGTCTCACTTGATGGACGATACTGCCCTCTCCTTTTTCTCCTCTTGCTTCTCAGGTCATACCTTCATCTGTTTTGGTGAATGATCCTGCAAAACTGTGTGAAGGTCTCACAAGGCATTGATCTTGGGTGCCTCCTCTTATTACTTTATATTAGGGCTGTCAATTAATCGCAGTTAACTCACGCGATTAACTCAAAAAGATTAATCGCGATTAAAAAAATTAATCTCACTTATAGCACTAGAATACCAATTTAAATTTATTACATATTTTTGGATGTTTTTCTACCTTTTCAATAGTTATTTCAATTACAACACAAAATACAAAGTGCACAGTGCTCACTTTATATTATTTTTGATTACAAATATATGCACTGTAAAAATGATAAAAGAAATAATATTTTTCAATTCACTTCATACAAGTACTGAAGTGCAATCTCTTTATCGTGAAAATGTAACTGACAAATACGGATTTTTTTTTTGGTTGCATAACTGCACTCTAAAACAAAACAGAGCTGATGCTTGTTTAAAAAAAAATGCGTTAAATTTGTGACTGTACTACTTGGGGGGAGAATTGTATGTCTCCTGCTCTGTTTTACCTGCATTCTATATATATTTCATGTTATAGCCGTCTCGGATGATGACCCAGCACATGTTCGTTTTAAGAACACTTTCACAGCAGATTTGACAAAATGCAAAGAAGGTACCGATGTGAGATTTCTAAAAACAGCTACAGCACTTGACCCAAGGTTTAAGACTCTGAAGTGCCGTCCAAAATCTGAGAGGGACGAGGTATGGAGCATGCTTTCAGAAGTCTTAAGAGCAACACTCTGAAGTGGAAACTGCAGAACCCAAACCAGAGGAGGAGGGGAAAAAAAAAATCAACCTTCTGCTAGTGGCATCTGACTCAGCTGATGAAAATGAACATGCGTCAGTCCTCACTGCTTTGGATCGTTATTCAGCAGAACCCATCATCAGCATGGAAGCATGTCCTCTGGAATGGTGGTTGAAGCATAAAGGGACATAAATATCTTGCAACGCCAGCTACAACAGTGCCATGTGAACATCTGTTCTCACTTTCAGGTGACATTGTAAACAAGAAGCAGGCATATTATCTCCTGCAAATTGTAATCAACCTTTGTTTGAGTGATTGGCTGAAGTAGGATTGAGTGGACTTGTAGCCTCTAAAGTTCCATTGTTTTATTTTTGAATACAGTTTTTTGTACATAATTCAACATTTGTAAGTTCAACTTTCATGATAGAAATTGCACTACAGTACTTGTATGAGGTGAATTGAAAAATACAATTTTTTAGGTTTTTTTACAGTGCAAATATTTGTAATAAAAATATGAAGTGAGCACTGTACACTTTGTATTGTGTTGTAATTGAAATTAATATATTTGAAGATGTAGTAAACACACAAAATATTTAAAATAAATGATATTCTATTGTTTAACGGCGTGATTAATCATGATTAATTTTTTTAATCGCACGATTAATTGCGAGTAATTTTTTTAATCGCTTGACAGCCCTACTTTATATCCTTTCCCTAGGAGATATTCACTTAGATAGCTTCAGCTATTATTCTTCCTTATGAGCACTCATCAAAGCTTAGTGAAAAATCTCTGTGTGCTTTGTATGTGGGGTTTTTTGTTTTTGTTTTTTCCCATGGTGAAAGGCTCACAGCTCAGTTCAAAGCCAGATTCCTCTAGAACTAGGTAGGACATGTCACCTTAATAAGAGTTATCTCCATGCCATGTTTCCTACAGCTGAAACAACTAGCATTTGAAAGGTATGTTTGGAATGTTGCAGGAATTTACTACGTTAATATGAAGTGGTTTTTTTCATTTGTTTAGTGCCTAGGGTGAACCTTCTACAGAAGTGATGGTTATCTTAATATATTATTCATCTATTTTAACAACTAAAGCCTCATTCCAAGTTGTTTTTATTCAACTAAATTTGGGGGACAACAAACTAAAACCTCATTCTGAGTTAGTGAACAAATAGAATTATGTAAGGCTGACTTACTGTTTAATTCTCTAATCTTGTCTCTTGTTGATATCAAGCACTTTCAACTGCTGTTTTTGCCGTTTAGATTAGCGGTCAATTTTCACTTCCCAACATTACTTTAATAATTACAGTTTATCAAAACTATTTGAGATTTTAAAAGACCTCAGTCCCTAGAAAAATCATGGAGCAGGTCCTCAAGGAATCAATTCTGATGCACTTAAAGGAGAGGAAAGTGATCAGGAACAGTCAGCATGGATTCACCAAGGGCAAGTTATGCCTGACTAACCTAATTGCCTTCTATGATGAGATAACTGGCTTTGTGGATGAGGGGAAAGCAGTGGACGTGTTATTCCTTGACTTTAGCAAAGCAAAGCTTTTGATATGGTCTCCCACAGTATTTTTGCCGGCAAGTTAAAGAAGTGTGGGCTGGATGAATGGACTATAAGGTGGATAGAAAGCTGGGTAGATCGTCGGGATCAACGGGTAGTGATCAATGGCTCCATGTCTAGTTGGCAGCTGGTATCAAGCAGAGTGCCCCAAGGGTTGGTCCTGGGGCCGGTTTGGTTCAATACCTTCATTAATGATCTGGAGGATGGCGTGGACTGCACCCTCAGCAAGTTTGCAGATGACACTAGACTGGGAGGAGTCGATACGCTGGAGGGTAGAGAGAGGATACAGAGGGACCTAGACAAAAATTAGAGGATTGGGCCAAAAGAAATCTGATGAGGTTCAACAAGGACAAGTGCAGAGTCCTGCACTTAGGATGGAAGAATCCCATGCACTGCTACAGGCTAGGGACCGAGTGGCTAGGCAGCAGTTCTGCAGAAAAGGACCTAAGGGTTACAGTGGACGAGAAGCTGGATATGAATCGACAGTGTGCTCTTGTTGCCAAGAAGGCTAATGGCATTTTGGGCTGTATAAATAGGGGCATTGCCAGCAGATCAAGGGACGTGATCATTCCCCTCTATTCGGCATTGGTGAGGCCTCATCTGGAGTACTGTGTCCAGTTTTGGGCCCCACACTACAAGAAGGATGTGGAAAAATTGGAACGAGCCCAATGGAGGGCAACAAAAATGATTAGAGGGCCGGAGCACCTGACTTATGAGGAGAGGCTGAGGGAACTGGGATTGTTTAGTCTGCAGAAGAGAAGAATGAGGGAGGATTTGATAGCTGCTTTCAACTACCTGAAAGGGGGTTCCAAAGTGGATGGATCTAGACTGTTCTTAGTGGTAGCAATGACAGAACAAGGAGTAATGGTCTCAAGTTGCAGTGGGGGAGGTTTAGGTTGGATATTAGGAAAAACTTTTTCACTAGGAGGGTGGTGAAGCACTGGAATGGGTTACTTAGGGAGGTGGTGGAATCTCCTTTCTTAAAGGTTTTTAAGGTCAGGCTTGATGAAGCCCTGGCTGGAATGATTTAGTTGGGGATTGGTCCTGCTTTGAGCAGGGGGTGGGACTAGATGACCTCCTGAGGTCCCTTCCAACCCTAATAGTCTATGATTCCATGATTCCAAGTCATTCCTTATAGTTCTGGTTCATTTTATCTTTCTGGCCCTTGTCTCCATTCATTGTTTGAAAGCAGTGGTGTTGCCCTCACATCGGGGTTAGGACTCAGAAGAACATCCCCAGAAGTATGGGACTTTGTCCATGGAAAAAGACGACATTCCTGCAACCACCTTTTTCCCAAATATCTGGCTTGGGGCTGTTGGGTGTGGAGAGAGAAAAGAGGAATTACTCAAAGCACCCTTTTTTTTGAACTTTGGAGGCAGGAGTGACATGCAGCATGAAGTCAGACAGAACTGAGTGAGGGAACTGCAAATGGCAATCTGCAGAGCTGCTCTAGAAGATTGGGGAAAGTTACTGTCATATTGCGGCTATTAACACGGTTTAATAACTTTTATTAAAATGCAGGGGGTCAGACCAGATGATCATAATGGTCCCTTCTGACCTTAAAGTCTATGAGTCTATGAGTTTATCACCGTCAGCAGCATCTCTCTGCATGTCCCACTCATCCATTCGAGTTCCATAATACAGCTCCTTTGTTTGTGTAACATGGAACCAGAGTCTTCAGCCATTGCGGATGTGGGCATTATAACAAACTTATGCCTCAAATGCTATTCCAGACTCTTCTGTGCATTGCTACTTTCCCTTCCTTCAAATCAATAAATTGAAGTCAGGGATGGAAAGTAGGAAAACTGATCTTATTTAAAAATATATAAACTGTTTACTTTAAGTCTTCAGGGCAGGAGCTGTCTTTGTTATATTGTTTGTACAGTGCCTTTCATATGGGACTGGGACCTCTGACGTACTACCTCAATATATATAAATAGGTTTAATGAACTTAAATTGTGCTGTTTAGTACATGTAGATTATTTGTTACACAAAATTGTAAGTGAATTTATATTTTCTTTTATTTGAAGATGCATCTTAAGTTGTGATACTTGTGTAACTAATGAGAAAATGTATTGAATCCATTGTTTACCTAATGTGCCTTTTTGCAAGTTTTATATAAAACACTGAATTGGATGAAATGATTATCTTACAAGAGTAGCTACTAAGTGTAGAAAATTCTCTAGTGCCGTCCATTCGGTTAATCTATATTTTTCTTTCTGTTGTCAGAATATGAGTGATGCAATGGCTATCCTACATAAGCTACAGACAGGTCTGGATGTGAACGTGAAGTTCACTGGTGTACGAGTTTTTGAATACACACCTGAATGCATAGTGTTTGACCTTCTTGATATCCCTTTGTACCATGGATGGTTAGTGGATCCTCAGGTAAGCAAAATAGCTTATATGATGAGTTATCTATTTCCTGTCTGAACTATTTTACATTTTACTGGGGGAATGTTTGAAGAGCATCAAAGATGTGTATGGCACATCAGAATTTTCAGATTCTTGTTTAATTTTAACCTAAGGTTTATAGTCTCTTTTGTTGTGTAGACAGGCGTCACAGTGAGCTGATCATGTTTTCTTTTGAGTCTGCACCCAGAAAGATTAAAATTTCACCTTGAAGAGTGGTGTGAATCATACTGGTCATTTTAAGGCACTATAACTTTGCAATGATTGAATGTTAGAAAGTTCCAGATTTTAGACAAGTCTATTTTAAGTCCAAAATAGTGCAAAATAGGGTATTGAGTTTTATTTTCCCCTTTCCAGGGGTGGTATTCATTTCTTACCTTGATTGCTCATATAAGAATTTGGACACTAAGAAGTTAGTGAACGTGATGTGACTTCCCTCCTTCCTGAAATTCCTACTTGCTTTTAGCAGCTTCTGTTTCAAGAACTGAGAGCATTAAAACCAAGTAAGAATAAGTGATATAATTTTGTTTAAGATGGGCTGGCTGAGGCGCCATCCAATTAAGAAAGGAAGGTGATACTCTTTGGCTGGGGAGTTATATGGCTAGAGTAGCCTGTCTATATGATTGATGTGTTCCTAATGATTTGTGACTCTGTCTTGTAATCATCTAGGCTTTTTTCTAGGTGTTTTTTTTTTAATTTCACCTGGCAATTTTCATGGCCAGAAAATGTTTTCATCTCATTTTAGCACTATAGACGGCAACCCATCTCTCTCTGATGTGCACCCTTCATCTATAGTCCAGACCTTTTGTGAACTCTATGGGTGACAGCATTGGAGAACAAGAGAAACAATAGTTGTTGTAGAATGTTGTAGTTTTGGCCAAGGGAGAAGCACATATTGGTGTTCGGAAACTTTTCTGGTTTCCTATTTGCTTCCAGGTGCAAACCAAGCCTTTCATACTGATATTAATATTTATTATTAGGTTAGTCCCTTGTGGCACCAGCTATGACTGAAGCCCCACTGATTTAGAAACACATGAAGAAGTGATCCATGGTCTGAAGAACTTAGATTTTAAGTGGTATTTACCAAGTTTTTTCCCAGCTACTTGGGCATCTGACTCTGTGATCTTCCAATATGGCTTAAATCAGCTGACATGCTAATAGTTAATAGAGCTGAGTATTTTGAGATTTGTTGGAGGGGATGTCTTAATGGAGTAACCTTAATTCTGGAAATTATTTCCTGTGCTGATCTAACAGAGCCAGAATTTCCTTAGCTTTTTACATTATTTCTTTAATGTAAAAAGCTAACTGTTCCCTCAGGTATTTCTCTAAGGGAATGAGGATGGAAAATATTTTTGTAACAGTTAACATCTACATTTTCAGTTTAGTTGGCGTTACTTAACTGATTTTGTATAGATCAAGATTTATATGAGCACCCAGAGACAACTGTGGCAGACATTGTTTTTTTTTTTTTTTTTAAATCGTGAAAACTTTGTAATAGCCTTTCTAAAAATAGGAATGCATTATTTTTTGTATGCTAAATGTTTGAGTATTTTTTTTTTTAAAAAGGAGGAATACTAGATGAAGCCATCTAATTTTTTTAACTTTTCTTTGGGATCCTCTAGAACATGCATGTAAGTGATTTGCAGCACATTATAATGTATTCTAAAAATCAGCAAAGAAATGTGGCTTAAGTAGGCATGTATTGATTGATTCTGCAGAATGTGTGTCATGTGGGTCACATAAAAATCAAAGTCTTCACATTTAAAAGATAAAGTTTGTAACCCTCATAGTTGCAGAGCGTCTTCGAGATGTGTACCAAATACAACTAATGCAGTGTCATCTGCCTGAGTCTGCAGGCTGCCTGCAACAATGGCTCTGGAAAGTATGAAGGCATGATACAGAAAAAAGGAAATAAGGAAGGAAGAGAGGGGAAAAATTATGTATTTATATATATTATATATATATATATATATATATTTTTTTTTTAAAAAGCAGCATATTCTGCACTAAGTGAAGCTGAATGTGCCAATAACACATAACTGAAAAAATAATAAATAACTGAAAGTTGAGGTATTGCTTAAGACTGGTTCTACCCCTGATCTTTATGCAGATCTCCCCCGGATATAATTGAATATTCTGCTGTGTATTGAGGGCAGTGTGTAGTATTAAACTTAAACCCTAGCTCCATAATTAAAATGGAATTTTGCACTCTCCTCAAAATGTGTGCAACATCCTTGGATTAAGGCTTCTTGAACTAGGACTATGTATTGACCTTAGTGTGGTATAGCTAAAAGACTAAAACCTCTTGTGGGCAATTTATTTTTGATGTATTTTATCTTGTGAACAATTCCAGTAGGCACACAGGAACAAACAATGGATTTTCTGTTCTTCATAAAGATAAATGAATTACCCGGTATTTGTTTTTCCAGATTGCTGACATTGTGAAGGCAGTTGGTAATTGTAGTTACAATCAATTGGTGGAGAAGATAATCTGTTGTAAACAGTCGGACAACAGTGAGCTGGTTAGTGAAGGTGGGTGAATGCTGCCATGGTAATTTTTTTTCTTCTTTCATTACTGGAACTAATGAAGTGCAGTATCAGTTTATACATTTTTAAAAATTATTTAATGTTTTTAATTATACATTTTGTATATTGGCTTACTGTATATGTAGTCTGTCACGTGGTGGTGACATCCATGTGATAAACTGCATTAATCATGCACATTAAATCTCCTCAACTTCATCTTTGCCCATTAAACCATCTGCACTGGGATTGCCCTCTGGGGGTGGAATTTACAAAGCTTTACAAACCTCTGAGCTCTGCTATTTTTACATTTTAAAAAGCTGGAGAAATCTCTCTTCTTACAGAATTTCATTAGTCTGAGGTCTCATGGGCAACATTCAGTCATGGGTCAGTGACAGATTTCAGATCTGCTATGTCTCCACATATCATGTCTAGATATGGGAACTTTATCATTTGGAAAGAGGAAAATCACTATTAGAAAGATATAGTACTTCTACACATGGTAGGTCTCAAGATTTCAGATTGGAAACATAAAGAAAATCTATTATACATTATTGTTGAGATTTGCAATGTATCAGCTGTTCTCTTTCTGTGGTTTGTGCATTTGGACTCCGTAATAAGGGAGCTTTCCTTTACTGGTGAAGGGATATGAAAAATAGTGCCAGTAAAAAGGCACATGTGAGTGAGAATGTATTTCACAAAAAAATACAATATATTAAAATCCATTTTTGTTCTAAAGTTTGATCCATAGACTATAGTTGAATCAGGCAGGAATGAATTTTTGGAAGCCTTATTAGTGGCTCATTATGTTAGTTGCAATGTGAGAGGCAGAGTGCCTAATCGGTACTGGGTGTCATCAGTGATAGTTCTACAGAAAACACAGGAGCTTAGAATTTTGCATTCAACTTTTCAGTTACAGCAAGGTTTAAATCCATTGTGCTTTGAAAATAAGTATGTATCACCACATACTCAGTTTTCTGTACAACTGCAAGTATATATAAGGAGTCTGAAGAGCTAAAGATTATTCTTGGAATTTCAGGACTGGTGCCAAACTTTATTCTTATTCCTCTACAGATAGCCTTACTTTAATACTTTTGGATCTACTTCTATTTAAACTTCAATCAAAATTTCATGGGTAGACTCATTTTTAATTTAGTAGTCTTTACAATACTATTTCTAAATATGCCACTGAAGCCATTGTGAAAATGTGTGTCTGTATCAGAAGGGGTGTAGAACAAGTCTGACCAGTGTTTAGTTCCACAAGGTGCTGTGACTTTTGCAAACACTCTAGCCTCTTCAGTTCCATCATGTTTTCTACTTGAGGCAATGTGTTAGAGGATAGGTGTGACACTCTGTACCTTAAAGTAACACCCAGGGACCCCCAATATTCATCACTATCATATGATTATGATGTGTTTTGTACAAAGTATGCCTTGTGAGGTATCATTTAACAAGTCTTGATCTGTTGAACATTTAATATCCTGTTGGATTGTATGTACTATCATTGTTTGTGAAGTTAAGTATTGCTATATGTGTTACTGAAATATGTTGTGAGGTTGGGAATGCCCACAGCCAGCCTTTCAGTTACAACAAAGGAGGCCCCACACAGCATTAATGGGCCAAGAAAATAATCCACTATACCAGAGGCTCCTTAGAGCAGTGGAGATTGCTTGCCCAATTCCCGCGTCACAGCAAGGATCTTTCTAGCAGCTAGAAGAAAGTATAAAAAGAGAGTCAGTGACATCACTTGGCCTCTCTCTCGCACCCCCATCTCAACACCTGGAAGCACATCTGGAAGACACAGATTTTGAACTGGCGAAGTTTGGTCTCAGGCTGGAAGGTAGTCCAGTCTGTGAGCATTGAGAAATTGTAACCTGCTTGTATCATCTGTTAGGGTGAGACACTGCTTGATTCAAATCTTGTTTAGTCTGTTAGAAATGCATTTTAAATTCTAACTATTTTATTTCTTAAGTAACCAATTTTGATCTCTGTGCCTTCTGCTTAAAATCACTTAATCTATCTTTCTGTAGTTAATAAATCTGTTGTTTTTTTAATTTTACCTAAAAGTGTGTTTTGGTGGAAGTGCTTAGGAAATCCCAGCTTCGATTACAGAGGCTGGTGCATATCCACTTTCCTATGAAGAAATGGTGAACTAAATATGAACTTGCACTGGTCAGGCATCTGACCAGTGCAAGATGGTACAGTTCTGGGGTCTAAGGCTGGGGAGCTGAGGGGAATTGGCTGGAGCCTCTCTATTGATGGTTCATGAGTGGCTGGGAGATCATTCATGTAACTCAGTTGAGTGTGTCCCTGCCTATGGATGCCTGTGTAAGTGCAGTACCTGTTAGAGCAGTGGTTCTCAAACTTTTTTTCCCCCCGTGGACCATTTGAAAATTGCTGAGGGTCTCAGCAGACCACTTAATAATCTTTCCAAATATTGTTTGTACTGTTAGCTAACTATTGTAAAGCACTTTAGATAAAAGCACTACATTAAAAAAAGTAATAATAAACATTTTTTGTTCTACAAATAAAAGCACACAACTCATATTTTGATATCAGTAGTCTTACCTTTCTAATGCGATAGATATGCCCTCTCTCCCCTGCCGCGACAGCCCCCGAGGTGGGGCTGGGAAGCGGAGGGGGAGGTCTCCCTCTCTCCTCTGCTGCAGCAGCCCCCAAACTGGGGTTGGGAAGGAGGAGGGTCTCTCCCCCACCACAGCAGCCACAGAGCTGAGCCTGGAAAGGAGGACCGTCTCTCCCCAGCAGCTGCAGCCCTGGAGCTGGGGAAAGTCGCCTCTGTCTGGCCACCGCAGCCCTGCACATTCCAAATTCCCCCACCCCCTCTTCTCACCCCACTGCTGCCTCCCACCTACCCCTTATTCCCCCGAAGGCCACCACCTCACCTTACATGTGCGTCTTCTCCAGGGTCCAGGCACCTAATTAGTGGAGCCACATCTGCGTGGCTCCACTAATTAGGTGGGTAGTCCTTCATTCTCTCATGTGCGGCCACCCAGGTGTGCACCTTTGAGGGAACTGTCTGGGGACCACCTGAATGGAGCTCACGGACCAGTGGTGGTCCGCGGACTACAGTTTGAGAACCTCTGTGTTAGAGGCTTGTAGCTTGACATCAGCCTCACAATGTGAGAGGCAATCCAAGCTGGTAGGTTTGGAGGTCTCAGCAGTCCCACAGTCCAGGTTGCACCTGGGGACTCTCTCAAATCCTATTCCAGTTCCCTATTGTGACAAACTTAGGTTTTATTCCTGGTATTATTCCTAAATAATAGTACTTGGGAAAAAATATCCTATAGGTCAACTAGGTAAACACTTAACTTCAGATTTTTAAAGGTATTTAGGCATTGCTGCCCTCAGTGTTGTAACACCTAATTGATTTAGGAGCCTAAATTTCATACTGAAAAGTGATTTAGGCAGTGCACTCAGCAATGCCTAATTAAGGGCCCAAATAATGGCCTTGATCCACTTAAAACTTTAAAGTTGCAAACTAATATGTGCATTTGCTCTAAACTGATGACTATATAAGCCAGTTTGTTTTAACAAGTATAAAATTCTTATCTAAATATAATAAAGGGGCTACCCTTTAGCTCCCATTACATTGTGGGAGGAAATACCCCGTGCTATCCACTTCTACCTGGAATTCTTTCAGCTAGTTACCATCTTCCGTGCATAGGCAGACACCATCCGGAACCACAACATGAATGCTTAAATTCAAAATTTAGAATAAAGATGGCATGGCTTATGAGTGTATAAGAAATATTGTTGGGAAAGTGGTAATTTTCCTTATTATTAAATACAACCATTTTAGGTTTTCTACAGAGTCATGAAATTTTGAAACTAATTTTTGTGCATATTTAGAAGTGGCTGCCAAATAACCAGGAGTGGCGCCAGGGTTTTTGGCTCCCTAGGCGGGGGTCCTTCCGCACTCCCCGTCATCGTTGGTAATTCTGCGGCGGGCGCGGGGAGAGTCCTTCCGCGCCCCTGGTCTTCGGGGCACTTCGACGGCGGGTCCCAGAGCGAGTGAAGGACCTGCCGCAGAATTGCCGCCGAAGACCCGGAGTGTGGAAGGACCCCCCACCGCCAAATTGCCGCCAAGGGCGGCAAAATGCCCCCCCCCCAATCCTGGTGCCCTAGGCGACCGCCTAGGTCGCCTAAATGGAAGCGCCGGCCCTGCAAATAACAGATTGTGGAGCTTTATAATAGTCCTGTACCATGATGATGTTAAGAGAATTACAGAATTATTTACAAGAATAAAGGTAATAGTGGAATACAAAGAAGATTTACAGTGCTGATATATAGTTTTGATATGTACTGGTCAATCTAAAAAAGGCAATGTCAGCTGTACAAAATTGGCAAGTCTTCAAAGCTCAGCTGTTTTGGAGCTAGATGTTTGAAAAATGAACTTTTTTTTTTCATTCTTACCTAACCAAAAAACGAGTGAAGATTTTGGCTGGCATTTTCAGAAAAGTTCATTTTTGGACAGGGACCAGGTATGGAAAAACATCCAAAAAGGTGAATTTTTTTTGGGGGGGGGGGGGAAATCCTGCGATGATGTAAAACTGTTACATTTAACTTTTTTGAAAACCTGAAGTATTTGTTTGCTTCTAAGGAGCCTGAACTATAGTAAGTGCAGGAATGTTAAATGGAATAATCCTATATGAAGGCTCTAGTATGATTGAATTTTCAGTATACTCATAAGGGAACACATCACTTCTCCCTTTTTTAGAATCTGTATTGAACAGCTTTATAGCCCAGACTGTTGGAAATAGAAAGTTGAAAATAGGTGGGTAACTGGCTCAGGTAGTGAAATGCCTCTGACAGTGTTGGTAAAAATTATTTTTGATTGGCCACATTTCATAGAATCATAGAATATCAGGGTTGGAAGGGACCTCAGGAGGTCATCTTGTCCAACCCCCTGATCAAAGCAGGACCAATCCCCAGACAGATTTTTGCCCCAGATCCCTAAATGGCCCCCTCAAGGATTGAACTCTCAACCC